GTTTATTTATATATTTCTGGTTTTATTTATAATTATGTCAGTGTCGGTCCTCCATATTGCAGAACTTGAAAGGTAAATCAACGTCTGAATCAGGTGTGTTGGAGCAGGAAAAACATAAAACATGTAGGACTGTGGCCCTCGAGGACCAGGATTGCCCACCTCTGGCTTAGACACAAAGACTCTAACTTCCTCCTTTCTCATCAAATTATGAATTTAGCCTAAACATCTGGAGCAAATGGGGGATCTACATTCCCTCAAGAAATGCTCGGCCATTAATCAATTAACTGAGCACAGGACGTGATATTATTTAAACCAGGGCTGTTCAACTAAACTGCTCAGGAGGCCACACAGTTACTGAGGGGCCGATAGTGGGTGAAACACTGCAGTATGTAAGAGAACAAGTATCATTTCATCTTTTAACTTTGTTTATTTTGTTACATTAAATCATAGATTTTTTTTCAATTGATTTAAAACGAAATATTTTTTATTAAATTTAAAGAAATAATTGGGGGAGGGAAGATGGGGGCTCAGTGGAAGACTGGACAGAACTCAGCGGCCTGTGGGTCACCAGTTAAATAGCACTGCTTTAAACAAAAAAACTCATTCTGCTATGTGATTAAATATGGTAATACTAAATAAGTAACTCACCCTGTCCTGTTTTGAGCTGCTGTAATGTGCAAATTTCCCCACTGTGGGATCAATAAAGTTTTATAAAACAATGTTTTATCTTATCTTATCTTATCTTATCTTATTTACTTATCAAGAGTTTTCTATGGCAAAAACAAACAACTAAATTAAATCTCATATTGTGCACACGTGAACACTGAACCAATTCCTATGAAAGAGTAAATGTCTCCATCTAGTGGTCATTTTCAGTACTGCAACATGTTAAAACTGCATTGGGTTAAATCTAAAAAATGATTTGTGCTTGAATAAACACCTTCTATTTTTTTTTTTCAGATCCCTGTAGAAGCATTCCGACGTCCAGGACCGACCAGGATCCCCAAACCAAAGGGTTTCAGCTCCCCGAAAGGTGTCAACAGCGCAGTCACAAACCCGGGACTGCAAACTAAAAGTCCATCGCTGCCGGCTTCGTCTCACAACAACAACAACAACCCAAACCTGATGAACCGGAGACTGTGACATGACTGTAGAGACTCGGACAAACCATCCTCCTCGTGAACTCGAGTATTAAACAGATTTGTGTTTGTGTTTTGAATAACCAGTTATCCAGATGTTCATTCTTGGTGCTTTGAGGTTCTGGAAGATGCAGCTGTTTTGTGGTACTTAGCTCAGTGTGCACACACTTTAGGAAACAATTTAAATATTGGGAATTAATCCTCTGCTGTGACAGATTTGTGTGAGGATGTGACTCGTCCTCAGTAAACGGGAAACATTAGAACAATCAGAGTGTTAAATGCTTGTGTTGTTGAATAGTTTTGTTGTATATTTGTACAGTGAGTGACCATATCTGTTGAGCAATATGAAGGTGAAAAAAAAAAAACGTTAATTCATTTCTACATACAGGACACAAACTGGCAATAATGTACAGGACTGAGGCGCTGAAACGCAGCTTGATTATAGTGATTTGCTCTAAAAATGTGACTCCTGTGGTATATTTTTGATTCCAATAAAGACTTTTTCTACTTTGATTCAGAGAAATGGTTCTTATTTTCGATAAAAAAATATTTGTGCAACACTAAAAAGAGCAAACCACAATCATAATTTGCAAATTTCTGAGGCTATACTGACAATTTATTACAGAAAATTACAATTAGATTAACATTTGTGCTAAATTTTGTTTTGAAATACAAGAGTGTGTGAAGCAGTAATCAAAGCAAAAGGTGCCTACTTTGAAGAACCTAGAATATAAAACATATTTTCAGTTGTTTCACACTTTTTTGTTAAGTACAGCAGGTAAAATAAGTATTGAACACGTCAACATTTTTCTCAGTAAATATATTACTAGAGGTGCTAATGACATGAAATTTTCACCAGATGTCGGTAAC